CTCTCCTCGTGGCGCTGCTGCCCCCACTCTGCAAATTATACAGTCAGCGTTATATCTAGACTATACAGCATTACTTTTTAAATTAAGGCTAATTGTATAGCCCTGCGCCTGCCCGTGTGACTCTCTAGGTAGGGCACTCAGCCAAGAAACAAAGTCACTGGGTTTTCCATAAATGCTTTGTGGCCACTGGTGCCGAGACAATGAGTAAAGCACCAGACAATTCCATTTAGCCGCCATTCACCCAGCAGCTTCAGGTCCCGGGAACTTGGGGAACCTTCTCTCTTTTCATTTCAAGAGCGACATTCCCATTTCATAGATGAGCTATTCAAGGCTCAGAGAAAAACTGAGTGAGTTGTGCCCAAGATCACACAAGTGGCACAGTTGAAATTTTTGTTGACTTCCGAGTTAAAAATGTCCTATCCCCTACTCCGAGCTTTAAGGGCTCAGCATGGGCCAGACACCCTGATGGCTGGTTGTCTCATACATAATAGCCCTGTGGTCGGCAAACTGCGGCTCGTGAGCCACATACGGCTCTTTGGCCCCTTGAGTGTGGCTCTTCCACAAAATACCATGGCCTGGGCAAGTCTATTTTGAAAAAATGGCGTTAGAAGAAGTTTAAGTTTTAAAAATGTGGCTCTCCGTCAGCCTGCGGACTCAAGGGTCCCAGGTTCCATTCCGGTCAAGCAGCTGATCAATGTTTCTCTCTCACTGATGTTTCTAGCTCTCTATCCCTTTCCCTTCCTCCCTGTAAAAAAAAAAAAAAAAAAAAAAAAAAAAAAAAAAAAATCAATAAAATATATATTTTTTTAAATGTTGGCTCTCAAAAGAAATTTCAATCGTTGTACTGTTAATATTTGGCTCTGTTGACTAATGAGTTTGCCGACCACTGTTAGCCCATTTTAAATCCTCACTGTTGAGCTATGAGGGGGCATTATTACTCCTGCTTTACAGACAAAGAAACAGAGGCTGAGGTGAGGTCCTGACCGAGGTCACACAGCCGGATAGCCCGACATGGGAACTCCAATTACTTTGAACTCTGTGTCGTCCAGCCGCTACACCCTACTGCCTCTCCTCAAGCACAAATGGCCTATTTCATTAAGAATCAATCAATCCACTTTTATAAATAAATTGCACTTTAATTCAAGGAGCTTTGTATCTGGGCCCATACCTTCACGTAGGGTTTCTGTTATAACACCCTACACATCGTCCCGTGGACACCTATGAGCTTCCTAGAACTGCCTTGTGTGAAAAGTCCCTCCACCCAATTGTCAAGAAGCAGTCAAGCTCAAACTTCACTACTGCTACCTTAACCGCTAATCATGTCTCCAGTTTTTCCTTCTCCAGTTCACTCATTCATTCAATAAGGACCTCACTTAAAATCTATTCAAACATATCAAATCATTTAATCCAATTAAAATTCACGATAAAAGCACCAGGAAGGAAAAGCAGGGTCAGAAAATGTGTAAGGAGAAGGCAGGACAAGGAGATAAAGGAAATGGAATCTGAGATTTGCCAGAAAAGTTGGGATTTCATTTCTGTGATGGGGAAGACCTTCGGCCCCGGAGAATAATCTGTGCAAAGGCCCTGAGCAAGAAGGAAACCATGCTCGAATGACCCCAACAAGGGGCCAGAGACAGCAAGAGCCAGGCCCCCCAGGGCACGGCGGACTCCAATAGAGAGAAATTAAAGGGACAGATCTACGTTATTAACGGTCACTCTGGCAGTGTCCTAGGCCAGCCCAATGGCTCTGAAGCAGCCTTTGCCAGAACACAGTTCAAAATACTCTCCCCTGGATCCTGAAAAACAAGTTTCTTTTTCTTTTTCTTTTTTTTCTGTTCCCCCCCCCCCTCCCCGGGGTGTGGCGCACCGCCCTGGCTGTGAACTGGCTCACTTCTTTTTCTGTTTCACTTGTGGAGTTTAAAGGCCAGATCTTTTATGAGGTCTGGGACCTGTTTCTCTTTCCATCGCCCTCAATGTCAAGTTCCTCATCTCTTTCCAGGCCCCTCCTCACTCCCTAACCTCTGGATCCTCTCGGACCTTCCAAGGGGCTAATCAATAACAAGAGGTAAGGTAAAAATCTGTCCTGTGGGGCTTTTCGTGAAATGTAGAGACAAGCTGAGAAAGAGCCAAGGATTCTGCTCTCTTTGCATCCTCTCACACCCAGTGAAGCAGTTTTTTTTCTGGTTTTTTTTTTTTTTTTCTTTCAGTTAAGCAGTTTAAATAAATTAATAAATAAAAGCAAATCTGAGACCATGTCACTCCCGAGGTGTTAAGATTCCTGGATTCCCCTATGCCCTTTTGGCCACACACACACACACACACACACACTCACACACACACACCCTGCACCCTGGAGGCTCCAGGCAATGGAGCGCCAGCTCCTGCAGGCAGGGTTCCAAGCGACAACTGCTTTCAGTTTCTCCACTACAAGAAGCCTCACGTCACCCCACTGACACTTCCTCCAGGAAGGCATACGCATGCTCCAGCTCGTGAACTGCCCGGCTCTGACTTTCCTTAAGAAAGCAGTTTTGTTTTGTGATGTCCTTGTGATTAGTTCCCTGCCCACTTCCCCAGGCCACATTCACAGAAGGGCAGGATCTGGGCGTCACAGCCAGGCATCTCGCACAATGCCTGGCCACCCAGGTGAGACCCCTGTCAGTGCTTATTGAATGAATGAGCGCACACACACACACACATGGACGCTTTCTGAGTCTCCCGGGAGCCTTTATCAAGAGAGGCTTTTCCCTTCCTATAAATGCGCTTATAGACGTCAACATGAAACAGTCAAATCACAAATCTTAGAAAAGGTGCTACATCTCACCCTTGGAAATCTGAAGGGCACATACATAGCTTCAGAAAGCACCAAAACGTCAGGGAAGTTTTCAGATATCAAGGCAGTAGCAGGCAGCAGGGAGAGAAGGTGCTCATGACGAGAAGCCAATAAAAAGCCAGGACAGAAACAATGAGCTGACCAAGTTCCTACAGGAGCCCACTCCGGCTGCTAAACAACAAGTCCAAAAAAAAACAAAAAAAAAAAAAACAAGTCCACCAAGTCACTGACCTTGTTCTTGACTTTGCTCTTGGTTAGACGAATGCCCTTCATAACCAACTCCTGGCCCTTCACTTCACCTTTCTTAGAAGCACCCCCCCACACACACTATATATATATATATATATATATATATATATATATATTTTCCCCCCCTTCCTTCTTCAGAAATGCCAACCATGAGGCATTATTATTTCGCAGTTTCAGTTTCCCTGGATAAATTTTAAAAAGAATGACTAATAGATTACCCAGACCTAAACTAGGGTCTTGCTTCTTGGAGTGTGGCCAATGAACTAGCATCACCTCAACTGAGAGTTGGTCAGAAATCTCTGCCCCTCATCCCCCAGACCTATTGATTTATATATATTATTGATTTTTTTACAGAGAGGAAGAGAGAGAGAGAGAGTTAGAAACATCGATGAGAGAGAAACATCAACCAGCTGCCTCCTGCACACTCCCTACTGGGGATGTGCCCGCAACCAAGGTATGTGCCTTGACCCGCATCGAACCTGGGACCCTTGAGTTCACTGAGCCAAACCGGTTAGGGCCAGACATACTGATTTAGAATCAACCTTCTCACCAGCTCCCCAGGTGACACCTAGGCACATGAAAGTTTGAGAAGCACTGGGCTTACATTCACTCGACAAACATTTATGAACCCAGTGCAGGGCAGGCACACAGTCAGTGGTCAGCCTATACCCGAGAATGTGCACGGTGTGGGGGGAAAAGGTAAAACTGACATTCCTCCATGGTTCAGAGCTCCTGTCTACACCTGAAAACAGCAGGACCTGGGGGGGAGAGAGAGAGAGAGGTGCTAGCAGGGTTAATTCTCTTCACACCCAACTCCAGAAGCTGGAGATCTGGGATCTGGGATCTGGGAACTTGACCCCGTGTGCAGCGAGAGAGAGAGAGAGAGAGAGAGAGAGAGAGAGAGAGAGAGAGAGAGAGAGAGAGAGAGAGAGAGTGTGTCCGTGGGAGGTGTGCGAGGAGGGTGTCTTCCCGACTCAGCCACAGGCCCGGGAGCTGCCAGGCCAAGTCCCCGCCCCGCTCAGCTGTCACCCTGTCAAAACAAAGCCGCCGCCGCTGACAGCGCCCCGGCCCCTCGGCCCGGCCGCCCTCCCGCCCGCCCTCCCGCCGGAGCCGGGCGCCGCATCTGGGGCCGCGGGGCGCCGGGGCCGGGCCGGAGCGGGGATGGGGAGAAACCTGTGCCCCCAAACCGAGCAGCAGCGCGCGCCGCGCGGGGCAGTCACCTGGCCAAAGCCTGCTTACACCCCCGAGAACTAAACAACTAACAACACAATAACGACCCGGGCCGTCACCGCCTCCGCCCTCCCCGGAGAGCGCCTCGGGCTCCGGGACCCTCGCCTCGGGCTGTCCCCACCCTCCCTCCGGGCGCGTCCCGCCCCTTCCATCTCCCCAAAACGCCCCGGAGCCTCTGCCACCCTCGCTCCCTCCCCGCAGCGCCTCCCAAGGGGACACGGGGAAGAGGACGAGCGAAGAAGGGGCGCTCCGATGCCCCCCCCCCACCTTCTTCCCCAAAGATGTGCCCTGGGCCCTGGAGGGAGCCCCGTGCCACTCTAGGGCGCGCCCGGCGAGCTCCTACAGAGCAACAAAGCCCCAGGGCACCCCGGAGCGCGGGCACAGAGGCGGCTCCTTCCAAGGGGAAGGAATGCAAGGCTCTCGGTTTTGGGGACCCCCGACCCCCCCCCCGTTCCCCACCCGCCACTCCCCGCGCCTCTTCTTGCAACTGAGCAGCCAGCACCCGTGTCCGGGGAGCAGCTCGTCGGGCGCGGAGGACAACAGCACTTCCGCGGTGCGGCCGCCCCGGGCGGGCGGCGGGGGCGGGGCGCGCGGGGCCGGAGGGAGGGGGGAGGGGGCGGGGGTCCCCGGGCCGGGCCCGAGCCCCCCGGGGCGCGCGGGGCGCGGGGGGCCGGGCGCGGCGGACGCGTACCTTGCAGGCGGAGTACACGCCGAGTTTCTCCAGTTTCTTGGCCCGCGGGGCGGAGCGCAGCTGCGCCTTCTTCAGGGCGATCCGGGCCGAGCCGCCGCCTCCGGGTCCTTCGGCCGTGCCCGCCGCCGCCACCGCCGTGGCGGGTCCGCAGGCGCCCGAGCCCCCGGCGGCGGCGGCGGCGGCGCCCGGGGAGCCCTGCGGCGGCAGCGGCGGCGGCGCGGGGGGCGGCGGGGGCGGCGGCGCCCCGGCCCCGGCCCCCGCCCCGGCTCCCGCTCCGCCAGCCTCGGACATGCCGCCCGCAGCCCCGCAGGAGGTGCCGCCGAGTGTCAGGCGCCGCCGCCGCCGCCAGGGTCTCCCTCCCGGGCTCCGGGCTCAGGGAGAGCGAGACCCTCCCCCCGCGCCCTCCCGCCCTGCGCCCACCCCCCTCCCCGCCCCCGCCGCCCGCGCGCCGCTCGCCCCGCGCTCGCTCCGGCCGCGGCCCGCGCTGGTGGCGGCGGCGGCGGCGGCTGCTCCCCCCGGAGGGAGGGGACTAGCGGCTCCGCGGCCGCCGCCGCCGCCGCTGCACACGCCCTCCCCGGGCTCCGCTCCCCGGGGCGCCGGCTGCGGGCATGGCCCCGGAGGCTCGGGACGAGGCGGTGCGCGCGGACTGCGCCGGGGTTGATTGCTGGGGCCGAGAGCACCCCCTCGGCCTCTCGCTCGGCGCCCCCGCCCCCCGCACCTCTGCACCTAGCGCTCCCCCGCCAGGGGGCGAGGCCAAGCCCGGGTGGGGTGGAGGGGTGGGGGGCGGGGATCGGGGGCTGGAGCCCAGGCACCTGCTGCCGGCCTCTGGCTGCGGGCCGCGCCCCCCCCCCCAGGGCCGCCCCCCTGCAGTCCAGAGCCCGGGGGGGAGTAGGAGGGGGGAGAGGGGGGGGAGGGGGAGTAGCGGTGGGAGGGAGGGGAGACTCCCAGTCATTTGTTCTTCCACTTTGTTCCACCCTCTCCGAGCAGAGAACTTCCTACACCCTAGCGGGAGCCAGAGGTAAAGGAAAAAAAAAAAAAAATTTTTTTTTTTTTTTTTTGAAAAGTACCCGTCCATGCTAATCCTTCTCTTTGTTGCTCATTCACCAAAATAAAGGCATGATGGTTTGTGTTTCTCTTCTTAAATACTTTGCGGTTCAACTTTTGTTGTTGTTTTTTTTTTTTTTTTTAATCTAAGGAGGAACGCTTTCTTTCTAGAACAATGTCTGGATCCCATCGGCCAGAGGAAGAGAAAAAAAAAAAATACTTCATGTTTTAGGTGATTTTTGTTTGGAAGCGCTGGGGGTTAGAAGAATGGCTGTCTTAAACGCACTGTCAAAAGGAAATCTAGGCGCCGTGGGGAAGGTTGAGTACGGAAAGTTTGTTCGTCCGTGGGGCTCATCGCTACGGTTATAAACTTGCTGTTTTGCTTTCTGCAATGTTTCCGTTTTCAAAATCGATACCACCAGCAGGATATTAAACAAGAAAAAAAAAATAAGCATCCAAAAAGATAAGTGTCGATTTTGGCCTCAAACTTATAAACAAAACAAAACCTTCAACTCAGCGTTTTCAACTCTTTGAAGCTGTTCAAAAACTGTTGTCATTAAAAAAAAATACAAACAAAAAAAAAAAACCTGTTGTCCTTGTTGATGACAACCATGGTGTTTAGTCAAATGGGATGACCATTTCAGTTTTTCATTTGAAAGCTGTCCACCCATGGTCAGTCTCTCTAACGCCGTTTTTAAAAGCCCAGGCTAGTCCTCCGGACCCTTCCCAAGTGCCCTGCTTTTGTAACTTGTCATCATTTTTATGTAATACAGGTCCTAAGATGATCATCATAAAATTCTTCACATGCCATAAAGCTCTCACCCAGTGCTGGGCAGAGTCGCCTTCAGGAATGTACTTTTCCCTGGAAACATGCCCCTTCCCATCCCGTTTTGTCCAATTAATTTTCTCGGTCCTTTTTTTCAATGCCATGTTGTTTTGCTTTTTAATGCAGAGTGAGCGAGGTGGAGAAGTGGAAAAGTTTTCGAAGTTTGTGGCTCTGAACAGTGACGTTGGGGGAGAGAGAAACATCCTGTTCCCACTTGAGTCCAGCCTGAAGGCCTGAAATGTCAGACTCTCATCTTCAGGACAATTCTTTGGGTGCCTCCTTTCTCAGCATGATGTGCTCTGAGTCACCATTGTTCCTCTCTCCCGGCTCTGCTGGTTTGCACATTTTTTGCCATTCTCTCCAAAGCAGGGGGAGAGTCTTTCTTTTAAACTTGGGTTTTGTTTTGTTTTGTTTTTATATATAATTCTTTATTGTTGAAAGTATTACATATGGCTCCTTCCCCCCCCCCCCCAATTAACCCTCCTTACCCACTCCGACCCCTCCACCCCGCTCGCCCTCCCACCTCCTCCATCCTAGACCTTGGCACCCTATTGTCTGTGTCCTTGGTCCATGCATATATGCATACAAGGTCTTTGGTTGATTACCTCCCAGCCACCCACTCTCCCCTGCCTTCCCTCTGAGATTCCACACTCTGTTCCATGCTTCCATGTCTCTGGATCCACTTATCTTGTTACTTAGATTCCACGTGTGAGTGCGATCGTGCAATACTTGTCTTTCTCTGACTGACTTATTTCACTTAGCGTGATACTCTCCAGGTCCCCAGGAGGGAGTTTTAAAGGCTCTGACCCCTTGATCAAAGTCTAACATCAAGATATTAGCAGGTATTGATGGGGGTTTGGGTTCTACATGTAGGCATTTATCAAACGGATGGACTAGGCCGCCTGAGATTTGTGCATTTCATGGAATATTCATTTCCCTTAAATATTTTTTAAATCAAGATAATTAAACTCCAGTCCTGGCCTGTTTTGCTCAGTGGATAGAGTGTCGGCCTGTGGACTGAAGGATCCCAGGTTTGGTTCTGGTCAAAGGTACATGTCCAGGTTGCAGGCTTGATCCCCAATAGGCGGCTTGCAGGAGGCAGGCAATCAATGACTCTCTCTCATCACTGATGTTTCTATCGCTCTCTCCCACTCCCTTCCTCTCTGAAATCAATAAAAATATATATTTTCGAAAAGATATTAAACTCCAGTTAATGGTGCACATGAAGAAAGCGTAGGTGCAGTGCCCTGATATCTGCAGTGTGCTTTGTGATTCATCAAAAAATAAGATGGATTGCCCTAACCGGTTTGACCCGGTGGCTGGAGCATCGGCCTGCGGACTGAAAAGTCCCAGGTTTAATTCCGGTCAACGGCACGTACCTTGGTTGCGGGCACATCCCGTGTAGGGGGTGTGCAGGAGTCAGCTGATTGATGTTTCTCATCAATGTTTCTAACTCACTATCCCTCTCCCTTCCTCTCTGTAAAAAACCAATAAAACATTTTTTTTTAAATAATAAGATGGATTGATGCTCCCCATGAATGGGCAAATAAGCAGATGAACAGATACATGATCAAGAAAGGAGAGTAAAATGTTAAGGGTGAACGTAGAACTGTGCTGTTCTTCCAATTTTTCCATTATAAAATGTTAGGAAGTAGGGAGTCACAAAGGTAATATTAACTCGACCTGACAACTCCTGCCGGGGCTGGCCAGCAGTCCCTGAATGACAGGTGCACAGATCACTCAGACGCTGTTTGACAATGCAAGAGAGGGCTAAGAAGGCTTTAGTGGCCAGAACAGCCTCTATGGCCTGCCTCCTTAGGCCTTTATTGGCACATTTATCTTTCGATACAATCAGTAGGGTGAGTAATCTTGGGAGGTCACATGTTTACATTGCCCACTAGTGAAGAGCATCCAGGGATTAAGCATATGGATTCCAGTAAACACCCTGGAGTCTGCATGTACACAAGCTTGTTTGGAAAGGTCTAGGCATAACTAGGGGCGCCGCCTTCGACACTCACCTGAGTCTCCCCTAAGTCAGAATCCCAGCAAACGGGGCAGGTGGCCTTCCACACGCTTCCCTTTTACCAGAAGGTCCTCCTTGCAACTTTCCAACCACGTCTCCGGTGCTCCTCAACAAACTCCCCCTCCCAAGCCGCTCCCCACGTGCGGGATTGGGCTATTTCCACAACGCTCTGAAGCAGAAAGAAAATAACCTCAATGGAATCCAACCTGAAAATCATCATGTCTGAATGATGCATTGCTTGTGACACCAACTGAACATGATTTTTCATGAGAGCCCTGCTCAGAGCACCCAGATGACACTCTCGCTGCCTTAGGCTGAAGGCCTAGGATTTCAAGGCCTGTTCCAAGAGCCTTGTAAGCACCAGGCAGGAACATTTCCAGGGCAAAGGACTTGGGAGGCTTTCTCAGTAGGCTGTTGGAGCATTTAGATCCCGTGTGCAGAGCCCCTTTAGGAAGTAAATAAAAGGCAATGCTTTAGTTTACAAAGTCCTTACAACTTCCCTGCTGAGGTAAGGAAGCCACGATTAGAAAATAAAGGGCGTTGAGAGTAGGAATTGTAAGGGGCAGGTTGACGACCGGCAGTTACTTCTGGCACATTAATACTATTATGACGCTGTTACAAAGAATGACCTTTGAACAAATGAAACAGCGTAGATAGATCTCTAAGAAATATTTTCAAATGGACTCTTGTACAGTATAATACGATTTGTTAAAAAATAAATTCACACCGGCATATAAGCACAATTCTGTATATGTTCAGCAAAAGCAGCTCTAGCCGGTTTGGCTCAGTGGATAGAGCATCAGCCCACTGACAGAAGGGTCACAGGTTTGATTCCAGTCAAGAGCATCTACCTCGGTTGCAGGCTCAATCCCCTGCCCTGGTTGGGGCATGTGTGAGGCAACCAACTGATGTGTCTCTTTCACATAGATCTTTCTTTCCGTCTCTCCCTCTCCCTCCTACTCTCTCTAAAAATCAATGGAAAAGCATCCTCTGGTGAAGATTAACAAAAAACAAACAAACAAACAAAAAAAGCAAAAGCAAGAGGAAGATTTAGAAAGACACAGCAGCCGAAACTGGTTTGGCTCAGTAGATAGAACGTCAGCCTGCAGACTAAAAGGTTCCAGGTTTGATTCCCATCGAGGGCATGTACCTTGGTTGCGGGCACATCCCCAGTAGGGGGTGTGCGGGAGGCAGCTGGTCGGTGTATCTCTCTGTTTGATGTTTCTAGCTCTCTATTCTTCTCTGTAAAAAAATCAATAAAAATATATATATTTTTGCCGAAACCGGTTTGGCTCAGTGGTAGAGCGTTGGTCTGCGGACTGAAAGGTCCCAGGTTCGATTCCGGTCAAGGGCATGTACATTGGTTGCGGGCACATCCCCGGTAGGGGGTGTGCAAGA